ACATGCAATACATTTAATATAAATACATCTTTAAATAAACCAGCAGCAGCAGACTGGACTCATCAGTGTGACATTGTCGAATAAGACAATGTCCACGACAACGGGTGAGTTGTATAGACAAGTGAACAGCTATTTGTGCAGCAGTTGTGGAGCACCCTCAGGGTTCTGTGGACTGGGTCCAGCAGCCAGTCTTTCTCATGCTCATATTTTCCGTTAACATTGAAGTGAACACAATCATGGTTTATGGTACGCGGCACGCTGGCCCAGCATGTGTAATACGAGAACTAGCAATTCATGCAGCATCAGTTGGTACGGCATCTACTCTGCATCTTCTGAACTCTGATGTTCATGCAATGATGCAGTTCAGAATATTCTCCTGTTTTCTCTTTTCTTTTTTGAAGAAAATGTTCTTGAAACCATTAGAAGATGGTAACCTGTAGCCATAAAGTGATAAACATAGTCTGGAACAACTCACAAAGACTGTGACATTCAAACCATGATTGATTAGTATTAACGGCCCAAAGTGTAGAAGAAATCATTCCCCCAATCCAGATTCTGACACTACCGATCCACATTCATCAGACCAGGCTACGTTTTCTCAGTCAATTCTCCAGTTCTACTCAACCTAGTTTTTTTTTTTTTGCATCATTCAGAGTAAATGTTAGAGACTGTTCTTGGTGAAAATCCCAGGATTTTATACATCGCATTGCTGCAACATGATTGGCTGTTGGGCTTGGTGAGTGTAAGTTTATGGAGTGCAGTTATTAAGGTGAATAAGCCTATGATTTATTTCCTTTTGCTGCTGTAGTTTTTTACATTGTTATGACGGTGCTCATGTCAGCTCAAATCCTGTGTTTGAAGTGTGAGGGAAAGGTTTTAGAGAGAGTACATGAAAGCGTGCAGATCCAGACTTGATACTTGAAACTTTATACTAGTTGCTGGGCAACATTGACTAGTATGAGAAGAGAATAAATGTCCGCACACCATTTGATGCTGCAACAAACTTGTTAAATTGTCTCTGAGGTTATGTTTCGGTCACAGGCCTTCAGACAAAGTAAGTAGAGACACTATACATATACCTGCACCAATAGGTCATCTGACAGGTCACGTGACCACTCAAATCGGAAAAAGAAACTAAAACATAAGAAAGAAATAAGTAATTGAAATAATATACTACTCAAAAACATCTGCAGTAAGGAGTGGCTGAGACAGTTTATCCAACAAGTGCAATTCATCTTCAGTTCACAGTAGACCCAGTAAAGCCGCTTTCAGACAGTAACTCTGGAAAATGTCTGCACATTTTGTCTTTTAAATATAAATATAAATATAAATCTCCAGACATTCATGTGAGCGGTGATGCAGCGGGCGTGAGGCAGAATGTAACATAGTACATTCCACTGCGGAGATCGTGTTTTTGGCGTACAGCACATCGTTACAGGCATCGGCATGTATCACGAAGAACTCTCAAATCTCATCTTGCCAAATTGACATCTTCGTCTCTGTCGTTTTCGTCCTGAGTTATCCCTATTCTTTTTGTATTTTTGCAGTTTTGCATCTCTAGCGTGGTAGAAATGTGATTAACGTGCCCACTTGTTCGTAGTGAATTCTCCTGAAAATCTCCTGCTATGTTCTCACATGGACTCACTCGGACATCGTCCAGAGCTTTTACTAGGGGAGCAGGGGAAACTCTGGAGAATGTCTGCAGCAACAGCCTTGGACATTTGTGTTCTCACATACTGCTCCTCCACAGAATTTCAGGAGATTATCCGGAGTCCAGTTACTGTCTGAAGCAGCTTAAGTGCAATAGAATGAACTGTCAATCATTTGCTGTCACATCCTGGTGACAAGCTGCATGTGTGACGGACAGTCAACTTCCACTGAGAAGCTCGGTTCAACTTAGCGAGCGTACTAATGTACTCTGAGGTCAGCAGAGAGGCTTCTCTCAGGTATAATGTGCGACACATATGAGTCGTCAAAACTGCGGAATTATGATTCCTGAAATTGCTCACAAGTAAAGCGAGAGGCTGTAAGCTGTGGGGAGAAAAACAATTTCCACAGAACACAAACCGAAAAAACAGTTTAGTGTAACTACACCCAGCAAAGATGATGACTTCTCAAAACGGAAGATTAGGGTGAAAATCGCAGCTCGCACACTGCTGCTCCCCACCACCACCACCCCCCCCTCAGCCCTGCACTTCTGAAGTGTGAACAGACGCTTTGCTGTCTCAGCCTGGCGAACTTTGATCAGCGTGGGGTTGCCAGCCTTCAAGTTGAGACAAGGTCAGGGGAGCGAGATGACGGTCGGAGTCGCCACCTGTTTGAGAATGTATTCCGCTCGCTCTCACATCAACCGGGACTCTTAATGCCAAGAGGCTTCAAACTGAGTGGAGTCAACAGGGCCTGCTTCTATAAGAATAGGCATAGTCATTGAAGTGTCCATTAGTGTCCCCAGGTATCCTTGTCAAACCTGCTGCCTCAGACAATAAGCAACCTCGGGCTGTATGCAAATCCGCAGTCCGCTGTGAGTAATGAAGCTCCGAACAGCAGACTGGATCACTTATAAGCCTTCCTGTGCGTTGGTCTGTGTCAGTGCAGCTGATAAATGGCTGTACCGTTCGTTTTTCTGCCCCGATAGCGAAAATGAAATCAACAGGCGAGTGTGAGCGTGTAGCCGCGTCGGTCTTTCTCAGCCGCTCTTAAACCCAATCCTCTTTCCTCCTCCCAGGGTGGAATTTGAACGACCTGATCAATTTCTAATCAGCAAAGACCCTGCAGTCCTTTTCTCTTGTCATAATGTAGTTTCTTCCACACATCTCCTGTATGGGAGGACTCACTCAGAAATTGTTAAGAGCAAAGCGTGTTTCATTTATCCAGATATGTTTCTCACTGGGTGTGTTGAGACGTCTATGTGTATGCGGATCTGCTAAATATAGGAGAATTTGAGAAATCCTAAACACAGCGGCACATAGAATTAGAATTAAACCCAGCCCGTGTTTTAAAGGCAGAGGTGGCCTTTTCATGTTGGAAATGAAACCCCAGGAGGCCTGCCTGCTTTGTCAGCCATGAAAAGCCGGGCTCTGAAGAAAAACATTTCCCCTACACTCCATTATATTCTGGGAATTTTTGTGTCTTACAAGCTGTATAGGCTTTTTAGTATGTTCCCTGCAGCCCTGTCGAATACAAGTACCACCCTCCATGTTCCGAATGTATAAATTCAGTCTGCTTACAAATTAGAAATAATTTAACCTTATGAAAGTGGTTATTGTATTTTTTCATTTTCGCAGTTTCACTGCATCCGCTTCCCTGTTGAGATTTATTAACTGTTGACTTCCCTGCTGCCTAGTTTCACGCAATCTAAGTCATGTTATATCCAGGAGTTACAGCAGACTGAGTAAGTGGGGGTTTTTTTTCAATCAATTGTAATGTCATGTAAGGTGTGTGTGTGTGTGTGTGTGTATGTGTGTGTGTGAGTTTTTATTTTCCTGACGACTTTTTACTTAATTATTCTTTCTGAAATTTGGCAGCAAAACTAGACTGTGTCCAGTGATTTGTTTTCTCTGTGCAGGTTGTTAACAAAAGAGTGAAACTATCCTATTTTGTTTGCCTACATCTTTTTTAATTTTGCCGAGTTATCAGAAGAGGCATCATGCATCATTGAAGTTAAAAATGTTACTTTTGTACTTAAGTACATATCAGAGCCTGTACTTTCTTACTTTTGAGTAAATGAGTTGAATCAGTACTTCTTTTTCATTTCTGTACTTTTACTTAAGTAAAGAATGTGAATACTAAAACCAGAAAAACACCAAAAATGACAAAATAAAAGCCAACTGTTTTCCTAATGTGCAATCTCCAAATTTTAATCTGTGATCAATGACTCATTTTGCTATATCATCCCAGTGAGTCAGTGATTTGTGCATTCGGTCTTTTCATTTCTTCTCAGCTAGCACAGGCTGTTTCCAGTTATTGACATACTCAACAGTGAGGGTGAGTGATGTACTTTTCCAGGGGATCTGTAATAATTTGTACAATCAATCAGGACTTTTCTGGTGTTTGATGGTCTCTTAAAGAGAGACTGTGATGCATCCTGTTTAATCTTGAGGAAAAACAGAGCAATAAAACAAACACTGTTACACGAAGATGGGTGATGCAAAAGCAATTCTTAAATGCGCTTGTCACACCAACCTTGTTTGGTCCGGACCTTCGGATTTTCAGTTCAGGTGGTCTTAGTCCACATCAGTGGCAGTGTGAACATTTTGGGGGGGCTAGTTCGAATTTTCAGACCAGCGTTCATTTTGCTGGTAGTTATACCATAGTCATATTACAGAAGCAATGATATTAACGTAACCATCAATAATTATCTCCATACAAAAGGAAAGACTACTTTTTCCTTTGTGAATACTTAGTGAATACAATATCCAAATTGACAACACGCGAATGGCCCTCCAATGTAAAGCATGACGCAGCCCAGATAGGTGATGACAACAGGACGCACCTACTGTGTGTCACCTGAGTCTAAAGTCTGCTCCCTAAATTACAGTGTGAACCTAAACTAACCAGATCAAATGTTAACAATGTAAGAAAGACATGAATTCTGGTTCATGAAAACATCCGTAGACAGTTTCATCTTGATGTTTATACAGTTACATGAACACTGAGCACTGCAGTATTCACACCTTTGTGTGCTTGTCTGACAGTGCTCAAGGTGTTTTTGAATGCTGTTATTCCCACAATTCATCCCAGTGTGTATGTGTTTGTGTGTATCAGTATTACAAAATGTCCTTTTGTTTGCCCTCCAGGTGGATCATTGATGAACGGATAATACACCAGTCACTGACCTCACAGAGTCGACATCTGAACAGTCGCAAAAAGTGACTGGAGATGATTAACCAGGAACCATCGAGCTGATGGAGGCAGGCAGCGGAATTATCTTCCTTTGGTTGATGTGACTCTGCCCACATGGGTGGATTTCATTGAGGACATTTATTAAAAGAGTGCTGTATTTTCCTGAAAGAAAGAAAAGAGCAACAGGCTCATTCGACAGCAGCGATATAGCTCAGCCGCTCGCATCACGTGGACAACAGGGTAGCTTTGTTTTTCTTGCACCTTCAGAACATGATGCTATTTCTGTCCACGGCACTTCCATAGATCTCAGCCAACTGACTTTGACTGAAACGACATGTCTCTACCCAAGCGGACGAGAATCAGGACTTTTGCTCTGCTGTTTTGTGTCATTACTTTTACAACGTTCCTGTTTAGCTACACTTTCCGGGACCCATCAGTCTACTTCAAATACGCCTTTCGCCTGTCGGACAACTTTTTCTCCAAAGGGCCGTGTGCCTGTCGACATTGCATGACGCAGCTGGAGGACGACCCCTGGTTCGCTGAGCACTTCAATCAGTCCATCCACCCTCTGATGACCAGAGAGAACAGCGTCCTCTCTGATGAAACCTTCAAATGGTGGCAGGTGAGATCAGTTGCGGGGGGGGGGGTTTGTTTAGGGGATGTGCAATGTTATCTTGTTGAGGACTGAGAAAATGCACTTGCAGCTTCTGAGAGCAGATGAGAAACTGAAGAGATCATGAATAAAAAAAGAGATCACACGCTGCTGTAATGCTTCCAAGAAGTGTTTGTTTTCACCGCATTGATTGTTTCAGATCCAAGGGATCTCGAGCAGAATGAAGTTGTGAAGCAAACTCCCACACACATTTGTTCATTTAACAAGAGACATGGTGGATAGAAATTTGTGTTTTCTCCCAGCATCTCTCCCAAATCTGTAGATGAGGCAAGAGATTTATTCCATCATACACATAAAGTATGCATGTATACATTATGGCTTTCTCCAGCCCCCAAAGAAGAGGCATCAACGTTTGCAGTTACCTTTGGGATTTACATAATTTGATTTTGACACTGCATTCAGGGGATGTTTTCTATTTATCTACCAAAGATGCTGGAAGTCAGTCAGAGTTTGGGGAGAATATCTATATGATAACATTGCATTGTATGTAGAGCAGCAGTGCAACATTCAGTCATTTTAGACCAGCTTTAGAACATTTTACACAACAGAGCGGAGTCATGAACAACTTGCTCTATGTCAAAGCAGCAATGGACAGTTCACACAGGAAATGCAGCTTAATTCTTAATCAGAGGTCCTGAAAAATGTTATAAAACAAAATCTAAACTGAAAATAATCTAACTGTTTGCAAAATGTAAAATGAAAAAATAAAAATAATATATATACAATTGCTAATAATAATAGCAAACATTTCTTTACCTTGCAGTTACAACAATTACCAGTTGAGGGAGCTGCCTCCTGACTTCAATTTTTCTTGATAGCTACCATAGTCTGTATATAAAGATGGACATCATGGCAGCTCCCCAACACGAAGACAAAGCATCTTGATCGCCCCCTGGTGACTAACTACAGCATAGGTCATTAACCCTGCCTCATCCATGTTAGTGGATGAGACATGGACCAAATTGAAAAGTCAAAGTACATGTTATATCCATGTGAAAGTACATGTTTTATCCATGTACATGTCAAATTTCAATTTTCTCAATGATGGATTCACACACTGGTGAATGTTCGAGTGCTTATTTATCTTGTAATTTTGGTTTCCATTAGTTATTTTATTACCAATTAGAGCTGACACGTTAATGTATTTTCTACCTTTTACTTTACAATTTACTGAAGGCAGGAAAATGAATATTGACTAAAAACAATCCACTAACTCCAGTTTTATCTATGACCTGACTCTGCAGTCGGAGGGAGAGTTTTTATGTCTGCCTCCCCCTTGATGTATTCAGTAACTTGTGTAAATATATGTTTTAAATGACTGCTCAGATTTGATGTTTTTAAGGCACAAATATCGGATACATCCTCAGATCAGGGTCGTATCATATAAATGTTAAGGTCCTATAGAAACATCATCATGGATGTAATACCAGGTACAATAGACCAGTCATCCACACGTAAAACACACCAAATATAAAAAAGAACCCACTATAACTTCTGTAAACCCACTTTGCTCTAAGTTAGAATTCACATCAGCTACAGCTCATTGGGTGTCAGCCTTAATTTTATTAATTCAAACCAAAATATATTGTATGTCTTTACATCCCATTATTGTAGTACAGCTTTGTAAATTAGAAAAACCCATTCACTAAATTTATGTCACACAATTATCCCACCTATGTCTGGAAGGCATCCAGCGCCTTAGGTATTCCTACATTCGCCTCACACTGTGTCCTATTAGGGGCGAGAATAGAAAAATTACTGCAAGGTTGCCTCCTGTCACTACTCATTCCGGGAAATGCTTCTCAAAGGCAGCTTGAATGGGCAAGTGTCATGAATCGACGTTAGCCCGGGCCAGATGGTTCTCGCCGCGCCGGTGCGGGAAAAGGGCGTGACCTTCAGGTGTAGCGGGACTCTCTGTTCCAACTAGCTGCCAAAGCTTACATGATCCCAGGCTAAATGTTATGTCTGTAAAGGATAGAATGTCATTAGATGGGAAATATACCTGATATATGTAGTATAAGGTCGTGACAATAATGGATATTGTGAAAGCTAATATTGAAGTAATGTTTTAGTCTTATGATTAAAAGGTGTATTTCAAGTATTTTTCATACATATATATTTATGCACCAATGCCTGCAAGTTCAAGGGCCATTATAACATTGCAGCATCAGGGTCTTGACGACCAAAACAAATAAAAAGAAAAGGAAAAATAGGATCATTGCATTGAAGTAAATAAGGATTCCGTTATCTACCATAGTTGTAGTCTATTGGTGACTGAGGCTCAAGAGGCAGATTGGCCCTTTGATGATGATGATGTGTGATCACAGACTGTATATAGAGATGGGCGACGTGACTGCTCCTCAAAATTGAACCCCAAGCATTTGGATCACTTTGGTGGTTGGCTGCAGTATAAGTCATAAACCCTGTCTCCTCCATGTCAGTGGATGGGACGCGGACCAATCTAAATAATCAAAGTGCAGGTCAAATACATTTTTCTCAAAGATGGTTTCATTTAATTCTTATCATGCTGATGTGTGTCAAAGTGTTTGTGTGTCTGATAAGTTGGTATCATTTTATGCTATGGCTAAACATCATGATTGACAGGTAAGCCAGACTCACGATTGGTCGCGGGCAGTATCAAAGGGATCTCACTACTGTGGCTCCATCCCACGAACGCTACTGCATGGGCTCTGGGTCCAAATGTGCAAGATGGCAGAGTTTGTACCCAGGATACTTAAGCTTCGTTTCTGGATAGTGGGAAAAAGTGGAGACACGTCATTCCATTTACATATATACAGTCAATTTGAGTGATAGAATGAGTGAATGTACATGTAGAGTAAAGATTTAATTATAGCTGAACATGGAAGTTATAATAACCTATTTATGAGGTAGAATCCAACTTTCAAGTTGATGAATATTAATCACATGTTTCTGGGTTGAACGAGCAACCCTTCCTCCTGCGTTACATTAACCTTTAGTGTATGGTTGATCCGGTAGTTGCCCAGCAGTGTTACCCAGATAACCCTAACCCAGCATTTTGTAGTGTGTATTCAGTGTTAAATAACATTTTTCCCCAGAAATGTACGGCCATGGTGGAAAGGGCTTCATTGCATTATTTAGACCATGAGTCACTAAAACTCATGTGAGATTTGCAACGGAACATCCGTTCTGTGTTTGCAGCTGCCACGGTACAATATGTAACAGTATACAGTGCACACACACATTCCTGCATTTATTTGCTGTCTCTCCGAGTTCAAAGCCACCAGATGAAGGCCAGGCCAAAAGAGCCCCCGCAGACGGAGCTAAGCTGCCCCCGAGGTTATTTCAGAAATGTGCTGCTCGGTGTCTCGAGCTCCGCTGCCCTTGTTCAATCACTTCTGCTTAAAGTGGCCCTAGAGCCACGGCTGTCTCTGAGGCCTGTCTCCGCTGTCTCTCCAGTGGTTGCAGTCAGAGAGTCAGCCGGCCAACTACAGCGAGGTGGTGGAGGAGCTGTTCCAATTCATCCCTGATGAGGTGCTCTACATGGATGCCAGCCCCGAGCGCTGCAGGACCTGCTCTGTCGTGGGGAACTCTGGGAACCTGAAGGGGTCCCGGTACGGCAGCCTCATCGACTCCAGCGAGTTCATCATCAGGTCAGTTCACACCTCCATCTCTGGTGAGGTACAATGAGTGTATTTATTCATCTTTTTTATGGACAATACTCTCCTTTCATTTTCTTTCTTCATTTCCATTTTCCACATACTGGATTTTTTTTTTTGATTTGGGCGATGAATATGATGACACTCCTCCCACCACCCTTCCCACCACAGGAAATTGAATTTGACATTCAGTCAGATTACATACTTAATTTGAAGGTAGAAAATTTGATGGATACCATAGAAATATTGATAACAATCGCTTTGATTGATAACACTCACTAACACTCACTAATTCTATCTGTATTTTCAGTATTTCTAAATTTGACTGTTTACTGTAAAGAAAAGGAAAATAAAATATAAAAAAACAAGAAAATAAAGTTAAAAGAATGAGATATTAATTATATAAAGCAGAATTTTGTGGGACGAGGAACGTCTTGCTTTTCATTTCAGAGCCATGTTATCAGATTAGAGCATCCAAACTGCCTGCCTGCGTAAGTGAGTGAGCAGCAAGGCTCAGTCACGGCTGTGATGTTGTTGTGAAGACGTCTGGGCAGAGAATCTCCTGCTGCGTTGTTAATATCTGAAAAACAAACTCCAGGCAGAGTCTGGACCCATTTGTGTGCACATTCTCTGACAGTCATGTGTGAAAACGGCTCTTGCTTTTCACCTTCGCTCTTGCTTGCTGTTTTCAGGTTCTTCTCTTAGGTGAGAAACAAAATAGCCTTGTTTGGTGTATAAATTAGTTTATTAATACAATATCAAAGCAAAGGGGGCCACAAGATGGAAATCTACATGTTTGGATAACCCCTCCACCACTACCACACTCTGGGCTTAGCTCGGATGTTTTATTGTGCAGCTGACGCTTCTACTGCCCATCTTTTTGTGCCCCGTCAGACTTGTTTTTTAGCTTTGTCACCATAGTCCTTGAAAAAATAAGTTGGTGAGTATAATGCTTTATTGTGTAAACGAGCGATGGCTGAATCTATGAAATGAAGACACAGGCTGTGTCGAACAAAACCCTCTCATTAAACGCCCTCTACTTCACTATTTAGGGACTGGTATGTGACTTTATAGTGAGCTCATGGACAAAAGAAAAAATTCATTCACAGACAGCACCAGATGCATTTTCTCTGTACCAGCAATTATTTGCAGGATTACATTGGCCGGTGGAAAATTCCATTATAATTTGTAAATGTTTATTTTACACTCAGTATTAACACTTTTAGTTTTTGTGATGATGCATTGCCCTGCTCTAATTACATATTTTACTGCCACAACTCACAGGTCTGTCTTATGCATGGAATGAAAAAAAAAATGCCATTAGAAATATTCAGGACGTACGCTAAAGGTATTCAGGTACAGGTGTTCCTCATCACCTGTGTGTACTGAAGACCTCATGTCAAAATGGCTGCTGTGAAAAAAAACTGCATTATGTTCAACTAATGTTTACTGTCATTAGCCATAATTATCAAATATCAGGTGTAAAGTGGAAAATCCCCATGACCCTCATTTCCTGAAGCCCAAACTTATTTGAAAGTGCTTTGGTCTGTCACAACAAACTTAATTTATGGGCTTATCAGGAGGATATTGTGAAAACCAACAAATACACACTTTTGTGACTGTTTTCAGTTCTTCTACGCAACCAATTGTTTTGTGTCACTATCATGCACCAGAAATGAAACAGCAACTATGCTTGGTTAGCTCTGTTAAGTGTAATTGCAAGTTAGCTGCTAAATTTAGCATCACTGCACCACAGTACCAGCATTCACTGGTGTCAGCCTCACCCAATAGAAGACAGCATTCGTCTCTGGTATTTGACATGTGATTGATGTAGACTGTATCGCCACCTTCCCGTCTCGACAGAAATATTTTGTGAAACAAAGGTCATGTGGACAGAGATTTTTTTTTAAACCGAGAGGAAAATATCTCTCAAAAAATTGTCCACAGTGTAGACAAGGCCTCTGTTGAGGCCCTTTAACACAGCACGGGGTTAATGTTTGTTACCAGCATGTGAGAAGAACTCAGTTTATTGATTAATAGAATGTGTCATTGATGATGTATGTCGAACATTTTGCACATAAAGATGAGGGTCTTGATCACCCCCCAGTGTCTGGCTTAAATATAGCTCCATAATAGAAACCCCACGTCCTCCATGTTACTGGATGGGACATGTGTTAAGGTTTGGGTTGGATTTAGTCTTTTGATGACACATTTGGTCATGCGTGTCTATCAGCAGGACCTCACTACAGTGGCTCTGTCCCTCGTTTGATGCTGCTCAGACTTTGGCTCCATTGACGTCAGCATCACTTGATGGCAGCGTTCATATCAGGGATATTTGGCTCCATTTCTCGATAGTGAGAGGAAGTGGAGATGTGGTCCATCTTTATATAGTCTATGTTAAATAAATGTACACTTCCTGCTTCCATGCTCGATGAATGTGAGATAAAATAATCTTAACCAAGCAGCAGATGAAACAGTATGAGTATTCACATGTTTATCCCATGCCTGAGGGCAGCGGGAAACAAGAGAAATGGGTTTATGGCTGCCTATGATCTGTCACGCCAATCACAGCTCTGCATTGAATGGAAAAGAGAGGAGATTTTCTTAGAGGGGTTGTGGACGTATTTTCTGCTGCAGATCTGTTAGAACAAAGCTGATTCAGATATCAAAGGGTAAACTAACATTGTTTTTCGGACGTCAGACCTCGTGTTTGTGCAGTCCTGGAGTAATCTCAGATCTGAGATTGCAGGTTTTGTTGAGATGCAGTATAAATAATGATCTGCAGATTGAGCTGCATGAGCAGAATATCCAAATTCCTAAAGAGGGACTCAGTCCAGTCGCTGTGAGCAGAAACTGAAAACCAGTGCCTTTCAGATATCCACAATGCAATTCTCTCAGATCCACTAAAGCCTTCTTTATAGACTATTATGAATATTGAACAGCATTGGCTTATCGGCTAAAGCCTGTTGTTTGCTCAGCAGATTGCTGCGGTGAAATAGATTTGAGTCAGAAGACGAGCCTTTGCATTCGCTTCTGACAGACAAAAGTAAGCTCTGTGGCTTCTGAATAACGAAATGTTGCAGAGGATACGTTGTTTGATGCACTACTAAGTCATCATCGCTATTCAAATTGAATTTTAATTATGTATTTTGTTCTTCTAAAATAGTTGATGCATACTAAACTTTTCTTCACTTCTCATCTTAAAATGCATCACCCCCTGTTTCCAGTTTGTAACTGACTGCAGGTTTTAAAAAGTGCATTTTAGACATAAAGTCAATGCTTTTATTTGGTCAATGTGAAAATGCAGCTATTTTATGGAGTAGAAGATACAGAGATAGTGGGACCACACCTCTCCTCCTCCTCGGACACATGGAGGAGATGAAGGAGAACAACAGAACTGGCCCGGGAGATGCATGTCTCGAATCATTATTAATTAACTGTTATAGAGACAGTAAATGAGATTCAAATTATGCAACACAGTGGAGAAGGAAACAACAAAAGAGAAACAGCATGTGAGTCACTGCACATTTATTCAAATAGGTGAGACTGAGGGGAAATGTTAACATGTTTTATATTTTCCTTCATAATGCAAACTCTACTTTAAATACATGTTTTATCTTTTGACCTCATAAGAAAAGAAAATAATATTAGATTTCATGCATGAAGAATACAAGAGGGAAATTATAGCAGTGTTTGGGGGCAATTGTAACAAGTAATGTTACTTATACAATAAATTACATTTTATGTAATTTACTATATTGACCCGCCCTATGTGTAAGGTGAAATATGTAAGATATGTTTACTGCAGATATCAGGCATTCAAAGCAAAACCACATTTAGAGTATTTAACACTATTTAAAAATATATTTTACTCAAATCAACTGATGAATCATCACACTCATCATTGCTTCAATCCCCTGCTCCTGCAGTCCCTAAGTGCCCTTGGGCAAGACACTGAATTCCAAATTGCCCCTGAGGGCTGTATCGGCAGTGTGTGAGGGATGTGTGATTGAAAGACCGCTGTGTATGTGACTGTCACTGTAAAGCACTTTTAGTGGTTAATAAAAACAGTCTCATCATTTTGAATTGATTTGATCATTTTATCGCCGATTTGTAACTTTGTTGTGAAAGTTGCTATATAAATGAAAGTATTATTATTATTATTAAAATATCCCAAAAATGTGTTGAATAAATGGAGTACACTACTGTATATTTCTGTAGAAAATCAGGTGTAACTATAGATACAGTAGGTAGAGCCTGTGGAGTAAAGATGTGGATGCTTCAGAGTCAGTTGGGACAAAACTTCTGTGTGAAAGGAAGAGTATGTTAACTTGATGGCTTATGGGTTCCATGATAATGTGGCTGACGCAAAGATCTTATCTGTGTAACCAAAGTGCTGCTTAAATATGAAAAAGCATATTTCACGCAGTGTTCTTGCATGGCTCTTAATTTACCACAGCATGGCTTTGTTAAGCTGCCGTGACATGTTGCCTCTGTATACAACCACATTACCACACTTATCTTCTTTGCCAGCCCCCGCTGTGACACCGGCATGGCCCTGTCTACCAATTCAATTATCAGATGACAATGACGCCACCAAGACTTATTACTTTGCTATTAGCAGAATAGTTTTTTTCTGCAGAAGCTTGCTATGTAAATAGGCTAATTTATTTACAAGATTGAATTTTATATTCGTAGTCATGCTTGATTGGAAGGCATGGTGCTGAGCAAAACGGTCGCACCGGAACAATCGGTTTAACACAGAGTTGTGGAAATACATATTTCATATCATATTTCCCTTTTATTTGAGGGCAGCTCTCTTTTCAGAATGTGTTTGTCAGGAAATGGAATCACTCACATGTCTTTTGAATGCAAAATATTTGATCATCTGCAATTACATTCCCCCAGTGTGTGTGTATGCTCTGTGGGCACACCAGCGTATTTTATTTGAAAGGAAGTATGCGGTCTTGGATGTGTGATTGTCTCATCATTCA